TGCTCTCACTGTCTCTCTCTTTGTGTCCTTTTCTGTCTCTGTCCCCCCACTTCTCTCTCTCTCTCTATCTCTCTCTCTCTCTCTCTCTCTCTCTCTCTCTCTCTCTCTCTCTCTCTCTCTCTCTCTCTCTCTCTCTCTCTCTCTCCTACACACACACACACTTACTCACTCACTCTCTCGCTCGCTCGCACACTCACTCATTCACTCACTCAATCTCTCCCTTTTACTCACTCTCTTTTATTCTCTTTCTCCTCTCTCACCCGTGTTTCCCCTTCTCTCCCTCCTTCGTCAGGGACAGCAGAAGCGCATCGTGAAGCACTACCACTTCCTTGCCTGGCCGGACTTCGGGACTCCGGAGCGCGAGGAGGACCTGCTCGGGTTCATCGCTGCCGTGAGGCGCTTCCCCGCCTCGGCCGCCCACCCCGTCGTCGTCCACTGCAGGTACTTTCGGTCGCCTCCTCTGTTCAGTACACACACACACATACACATATATATGTGCGCGCGCGCGCGCGTGTGTGTTTGTGTGTGTGTGTGTGTGTGTGTGTGTGTGTGTGTGTGTGTGTGTGTGTGTGTGTGTGTGTGTGTGTGTGTGTGTGTGTGCGTGTGTGTGTATATATTCATATATGTATGTATACATATGTTTATACAAATGTGTATGTGTGTGTATATAGAGATAGACAGATATATACAGATATAGATATATACATATATAGTACATACATGCATACGTTAGGGACTCCAGCTCCTGATTTCCCCACAGAGTTTACTCCCTTTGACCTCTTGGTAGTACACTTAACTACTATAGACCAATAAAAAGTTTGTGTCTGAAACTTGTTTTACTTTGGATTTGCTAAGGGAAAGCACATGTAAAAGAGCACCAAAGTTAGCATAACAGACGCCATGGGCTGATACTTGTTTTCTTTTAGATTTTGAAAACTAGTGGTAATCAAAATGAATGTCTGGACAGGGACTCCTGATGCTGAGAATTGCCAAGCAGTTACCGTGGTCTTTGGTTTTGGAGTCCCTAAGGCAGTTTGTCATTAGCTTTGTTTTGACAGCACCTATGACTGCCAAGCTACGTGAGCTCTTGCCCTTCTCTTGGATTAGATTAGTGACGTGGATTGAAGGGGCTGCACCCTGGAGGGGACACCCCAGCACTGCTGCAAAGAGATGACACAATAGTAGAATTAGCTGCAGTCTCGATCGACGCAGAGCAACTGTGGAAGTGTTTCAGCACTAAATCATGAATCATCGATCATGTTTTTCTTCCGCTCCTCTTGCTTAGGGCTGGCGTGGGGAGGACAGGGACTTTCATTGGACTCTGGAACCTGATGGACGCCGCCAACGCCTGCTCCGACTCCTCGAACATCGACGTCTATCGGACGGTGCTTAACATGAGGAAGAATCGGCCTATAATGGTCCAGACCACTGTACGTGAGGCGTAGAGCTTATCTTAATGCAGTGCACTGTTGCAAATCACTAGCTGCATAAAATAAAAATCTGCTACATAGCCCTGCATACTTTATGAAAGTGTCATTTATAGATTTTGCCTAAAACACAGCCAGACTTTCTAGACTTTCTATATCTGATATAAGTTAAAAAATACATTATATGATTTAAATCTGTCATTTTGAGATGCGTAATAATAAGACATGTAAAACATGTGTTAACCGTGGGGACGATATTATGATAAAAGTTACGTGTTCATATACATGTAGTGACGCTAATAAGCTCTAATTCTCGCAGGATCAATACCTTTATCTCTACAAATGCATTGCTACCTACATCGATTCCCCAGAGAAGTGGTCCCACCAGGGTTCAGGTACAGTCAAAGAAAAAAGTTTATATTCATGGGATATACAGATCAAAATGTGGTGCATACACATTGTGAATTATATAGATTAGTCTCTCAAATATTCCTTGGTACTTCTTGCGATGATAATAATCGCACTGTTCATTGTTCATTTTCCTCTTGTTAATCGTATTCGTATTAGTGTTGCCATTGCTGTTATCGTTATCATCGTTGTGGCATTTATTGAAAGGATATAGTTACTTCAGTTATCTTCGTTATTACTATGTTGTAGTAGTCATTAATTATACTTTTGTTGTCCACACTATATCATAAGTATTTTTCAATATTATCGTCACTATTATCATCATACTGTTGTTGTTACCAACAACAGTAATGACCAATATGATTACTATCTCCATTATCTCTTTCATTAGTACCATTATCACGCGTCTGATCTGAAATGATTCATGTTAATCCTACTGATGATAATGAAAAGGAGACTCCCATCATCACTATTGCAAAGGTAAATGTCTGCATGAATATAAGTTATATTGCGTAATTAATCTTCGACCTACATTTCAGAGCACGCTTACGAGAACGCAGGATTCGTAGAGAGGATGTAATACCAATGCTTATTGAATGCGGTAGCCAAAGGCATCTTCGCTGATATAAGTTAAATGTGTATAAATTTATACACATATATGTACA